AGCAATGCTTAATTCGCACCCAAAAGGCTGGTTTTGAGTCCGAGGTAAATGTGGCTGTCGGTCCCATTTGCCGAGCTTTATCTGCTAGTCGTAGATTTGGGAATTTACGATTTTTTCGACCTCTCCTGTTCAACTACAAGTCTCCTCGAGGATGCACTGCCAACTGTTTACTTCACTGTCAAAATATGACTTGGTACTGATGTCGAATTTCATCTTCCTTTACTTTGAACGTCACTCTTTAATCTCAACTTTAGAGTTTCTTTCATTTTTCAATAGATCACAAGTTTTAAAAACGCTGATTATCCCGATTATTTACCTCGGTAACGTCATATCTACCAAACGTTCATCGGTTCGCTCGTCAAGATGTATTGAAATAGTTCCTAGATGCCTTTTGAGTTCAGGGCAACCAGGAGACGTTTAGCGAAAATGCGCATACGCGGTACGGCATGCATGAAAACCCCGAGCAAGCGCTTTTAATCATCAGCTCTGCTATTTTAGTAAAATTTACTTCAAAATATTATAGCGTAAGTGGTTGTTTGTTGATTGGCTTCCATGCCAGTATATACAGTAGGTGAGCTTACTCATGAAATGCCAACCGAAATTCCGTAATGTGTTTTCGTTTCGAAAAGATTAATTAAATAGGGTTGTAAAACTGATCAGCCTGCTGTATAATTCTATAACAATTCAGTTGCCTCAGGATGCCGGCTTTTAAATAAACTTCCTTCCTGCTGCACGTAAAAAGTACACTCTGTAAAAAATGACTACCCATGTAGTATTCATTTTTCTCATTGATTTTCGATACCCTTAAAATTTCATTTATATTTTATAGAAAGCATGCATAACATATTTATTTTTTGCTCAATCGGTAGAAAGTTACGTTTTTTTCAATTTTATAAACGAAGGAAGGGTATAATTCGGTTTTCAACAAGCTTCCTAATTTCCGAATAATTGTGAACCCGACCAGCCATTACACCTGCAAGTACGAGGTGCTACCAATTTCAAAGCACAAACACTTGTCACTCTGATAATCTCGTAAGAACTACATTTTATTCTCTTAACAACAAACATCTTGCATATTGTACCACTTATAGGATATGCATCTCGAAGACCATTCAAATCATTTTTTAAACGTTCCAGTTTTTGTTTTATTTATCCGACTGTTTGCACGGACTTGTTTTCTGCACATCTACAACTTCAATATACTTATCTGCCAAGAACAGTCGTGCTTTCGACATTTCCACTTCACTTGAGAAAGAAGTCGTTTCCAACCAGCCTGCCAGTACTCTCAACAGGTATTTTGTGTTTTCACGTAACTGGGAACACTTCATTGTTAATTGAGAGTTTTGGTCGATGAATTTGAGACGTCACCCACAATTAGTCTGTTGACAAATAAGATAGCCTCATCTACAGTAGGTGGACAAACTCTTGAAATGTCGACCGAAATTCCGAAATGCCTTTTCGGTTCGAAAATATTAATTAACTAGGGTTGTAAAACTGACCATCGCGCGGCATAACGCCCAAAAAATTCAGTTGCCTCAGGATGCCGGTTTTCGGAGGAACTTACTTTCGGTTGTATGCAAAACCAACTATGTGAAAGGTGACCACTTAAGTAGCATGCATTTTTCTCACTGATTTTCGACGTCCTTAAAAATGCACTTATATTTCACGGGAAGTAAGCGTATAGATGTTCATCCTTTTGCTCTTTCGGTAGAAAATTACGTCTTTTTCCAATGTAACACTCGAAAAAAGGGTATTATTCGGTTTTAAATAAGTTTTTAATTATGAGATATTTAATACCGTGAAATGGCTGTTCATTAAACTTCATGTCTCTGCATTTACCGGTGTGGATAGTGAAGTTAACAATTTATGCTCAAATCCAATGCCAAAATCTATTAACCCTTATATAGTCGCCTCTTAATACCGTAGAGAAATGTTTGGGCTTCCGTACGCGGAAAATGTACGGTTTGGGAACCTTGACCGCGATTTTAACGGCCAGTCGGGGTTCAAAATTATTCGGAAATTAGAAACCTTTTAAACAATAGAATTGTACCCTTCTTTCGGGCTTAAAATTGGAATAAGACGTGATGTTTTACCAAATTAGCAAAAGAATGAATATTTTATGCATGTTTTTCATGAAATATAATTGAATTTTTAAGGACAACGAAAGTCAATGAAAAAAATGTACGCTAATAAAGTAGTCAATTTTGCGGAGTATGCTGTTTGCCTGCTGTCGGAAAGAAGTTTTTTTCGAAAGCCAGCATCCTGAGGTAACTGAATTATTACAGCATTATGCTGCAGGATTATCAGTTCTGCATCCTTACTTAATTAAACTTTTTGAAACGAAAACACATTTCGGAATTTCAGCTGACATTTCATGAGCTATCCCACCTACTGTATATCCAGGCCAGTATTTTGCGAATTCAAGCGGGCTTCTTTCTAATGCGGCAAAAGCGCACTCCAGTTCGTTATACAGAAAATACAGGATATTTACATAGGGAACCTTGCTAGCAAATGAGAATGCATTTTCTTAGATGGTTTCTATAAGATTTGAATGAATTTAAACCACATATACAGCCCTGACGGTGTCTTGACAACTGCGCACTCCAAATGCAGTGATTGCTTCTTATTTTGCATGTGGCCATGGGGGTTTCAAACAAGGGCCGATAGGTTAGATTTAGTCGTTCGGTCTCGCATTATTTTTTCTATAAATTAATATCATAACTCCCAAAATTGAGCATTATTTACTTTCGAGGCATTTTCAAAATTTCCATACATTTTTCTCTCGTCTTCCGCATCTGTCCCCTGCCGTTTTTCATTTGACTTTTCACGATGCCAATTACCAGACGATTTTGCCAGGATTTACGATACAATGTAAAGGCATTGTCAGGCGTCAGTCTTGTGTAACAAAACGTCAGCAGAGAATCCGTACACTTTGGTTGAGAGATCACTTATACGGCAAAAATGACTGGGATTACGGAGTGGCCGATTCGAGCAACAAGGTTGAAAGACACAAGGGAATTTGGGTTGAAAAGTTCGCGAGATCCAGAAAGCAGGACTGATGTGCAGACTATCGAGTCATGCATCTTGCTAGTCTTTGTGCATGAGCGAGCAGTCACAAATTTCTCTCACCCAAAGCTTGAGGTCTGAACGCAATAATTGCATAGGGCTTAAAATTGGTATAAATTGTTGCTTAAAGTACAGTAGGCGACCTAACTGGTGAAAGATGTCGAGGTTTACAAACGAATGCTTCTCACTCGCAAACCGGCAAAAATGCATGCACTCAATATTAACATAAATAAAGAATAAAGTTGGGAAAACCGAAAACGTGAGAGAAATATTTAACGTAATTTCTCCTTTTTTAGAACATCCTATTTTTCAGAAAAACAGAAATTTCCGAAAACACTAAAATGGCTGCAACATAAATAACTCCATTTTAGATACAAAGAAGGCCAGTTCATGCAAAAAGGACGCATAGAATAACGTTTGATAAGAGTCTTTTCAATGAATTTCACATTTTAATATTCTTATAGTTAGCACCAGATAAAAAAAAAAACAATTTTTAAGTACGGCAAGCTCTGTTTAGTAAAACGCTTGTGCGTAACTTACTCTCTTCCCAGAGGAAAATGCGCTCAAAAGCGAAAACTAAGTCTGGGACAGGTCGTAGCATAAAGAATTTGCCGAATATATCGCAATATCCATAGTCACTCAGATTTAATCAATTTTTTACCTTTCGAAATAAGTTAGGCACATTTACACACGAGAAAATGACATTTACCGGAAGGTGCAAGACAAGTTAATAAACTGCGTAACGCTTAAGGTGTCTGAAAATCCTCATTGTGAGTTTCGTTACCAAGTGTTATGATTTAGGTCACGCACTGTATAATTCAGCGAGACGACAGTATTCGTATTTGTCCTCTATACATATATGTATCGGGTTCATCATCCCCCGAAGAAGACGAAGAAGATAGGGCGTATTCATGGACCGAGTTATATTTGTACTGACGTTTCGGAAACCCTCTCGTTTTTATCATCAGAGTGGTGTGTGGGCTGTTCCTGCTGGCCTTGATTGTTTCAGCCTTGATACTTGTCTGACATTATATCCGTGTTCGAAGCACGAACTCTGACCTGCCCGTTCGCCGCCAATTAGCGTTGACCTCTCCACGGGTGACCGCCGGTGGGCTCCTGCCACTAATGACCCCTTTGCGGCCGTCATAATTGTTGGCGAGCCAGCATGCTGGTCAGCCTCCCCCTCGTCACTCAACGGACTGATCAGTTGTTGGGGCTCATGGGAGTTGATCTCAGCCTCGTGGGCGTCGCGGTGAGGTGGCGTCCCATGCTGGTCACATGACCCCCGGCCGACTTCTCTCCCACTTTCTGCTGACATCGGCTGTCGGCCACGCGTCACTTTGCTCGACTGTCGTGATGGCCTTGTCCGCACTGACTCGAGCCTTGTGCGTAGCGCCTGATAGGCGGGAGGCAGATCTATGGCTCTATTGAGTGTGCCAGTCGAGGACCAACTTTCGAGCATCAGTCTGGCCATCTTATCATTGGCTCGGCCGATTACCCTTGCCTTTTCAAAGACGAAATTGTGGTTCTGCTGTTTGACGTGGCCATAAACCATAGACAGCTTGTCCTTGCGGTTGATTGCAAGCTGGTGCTCATGCAATCTTGTGCCAAGACGTTTGCCCGTTTCACCAACATACCTTGCATCACAGTTTTGGCATAGTATGCTGTAGACCACCGCTGATTGTTCTGTCACCGGTAGCGGGTCTTTCGGCCTCATTATTTGCTCTCTGATTGTTGACTCTGGCTTGTGAGCCACTCCGATCCCGAAAGGCTTCAGAATTCTTGCCGTCGCCTCTGACACGTTTTTCACATAAGGGATTGCGAGCCAAAATTTCGGGTTTTCTCCTTCCGACCGCTCAGGGTGGGGCTTCTTTAGGCACTTGCGTATGAAAGACTTGGGATAACCGTTGGCTTTAAATAGGGCGTGCAAGTACTTAATCTCCTACTTCCTCCCATTTTCGTCGCTGCAGTGTGTTTGAACGCGTTGGAAGAGGGTCCTGACACAACTGTCGCCTGGTGTTAGTTGCCTTGCGGTAGACCGTTGTCCTTATCTTCCCGTCCTCCAGCTTTCTCACTTGTACGTCAAGGAAGGCCAGCTGATTGTTGAGCTCCTCTTTCATAGTAAACTGGATGTCGGGAAAGATTGAATTTAACAGTGCCTTGAAAGTCTGCACATCGCTCCTTTTGATGATAACGAAAGTGTCGTCGACGTATCTGTCCCAGAATTTTGGGGGGTACGAGCTGAAGACCAGCCGCTCAAGCCTCTGCAAAACCGCTTCGTCAATTAATCCAGATAGAGGCGAGCCCATCGGCGTCCCCTTCTTTTGCTCGTAGATCTGGCCGTTGAATGTAAAGAACGTCTTAAGACATAGTTCTAGGAGCTCGATGATGTGAACTCGTTTGAGCTGTTGATCGATCTCATCATACTTTTCCCGGAGAAAACCGTCAATAGTGTCGATAGTCAGCGCAGGTGGGATGGAGGTGAACAATGAGACCACGTCAAAAAACATCATCACCTCATCTGCCTCCACTTCGAGGAGGACAGTCGAGCAAAGTGACGCGTGGCCGACAGCCGATGTCAGCAGAAAGTGGGAGAGAAGCCGGCCGGGGGTCATGTGACCAGCATGGGACGCCACCTCACCGCGACGCCCACGAGGCTGAGATCAACTCCCATGAGCCCCAACAACTGATCAGTCCGTTGAGTGACGAGGGGGAGGCCGACCAGCATGCCGGCTCGCCAACAATTATGACGGCCGCAAAGGGGTCATTAGTGGCAGGAGCCCACCGGCGGTCAATCGTGGAGAGGTCAACGCTTATTGGCGGCGAACGGGCAGGTCAGAGTTCGTGCCTCGCGCACGGATATAATATCAGGTAGATATCAAGGCTGACGCAATCAAGACCAGCAGGAACTGTCAACACATTACTCTGATGATGGAAATGAGAGGGTTTCCGAAACGTCAGTACAAATATAACTCGGTCGATGAAAACGCCCTATCTTCTTCGTCTTCTTCGGGGGATGATGAACGCGATACAATATCTGGACCTCGAATCTTTTCTCATATGCATATATGTCTAGTAAGACTGACTTATATGGCCTCCTAAAAAGGAAATGAGAACAGGAAACGTCTGCAATACGGGTGGCTTCGAGTCAACCTCCTGTGAAATTAGGGTTATGTTAAGACTAAGATTAAGGCTAGATTTGCAGTTAACGGTAAGGCAAATCAGCATCAAGTTGAAAACTAAGGAAGGGACTAGTGTGGATTGCGGAGTTAAGGTTAAGGGTAGGGTTGGGGTCAGGACTAGGGCAGCGGCTTAGTTTTACACACGGGTTGCTGTTGGGGTTAGGACACGGGAATCTTTTGTCTTTTCTAGATTTATGCGCGGGTTCGCCCTTATAACCTGGACGGGGTGTTCCTATTCGCATGTCCTCTTTAGGGGGCCATTTAAGCCAGTCCTGCCGAAATTATATCGATTTGAAAGCTGCATAAACAAGATTCTCAAGGACAAATGGAGACGAGTCCAGTCAGTCGTGACCGGATGATGGGATGAGATAGAGATATATTGGCGCAGACTAGCTAATCATAGAAGTGTTATGACCGGCTAAAACGTTCAATGGTTTTAGCAATGTTTATACGTCTGACGTCGAGCTGGGAAATCGGATTGGATGCTTTCAAAACAAGTTTTATCATGTTACCAAAGATCTTCTACCGTTTCTTAATATACATACAGTTAGTGACTGATCTCATGAAATGATGACCGCAATTCTGAAATGCATTTTCGATTAGGAGGGGTTAACGGGGGTGAGATTGTAATATTTAGCATGCGGCATAATCCTATAATATTTCGGACTCAACAGGCTGTCGGCTTTTGGATGCGCTTTTTTGCGACCTGTAAAAACCGCGTTCAGTAAAAATGGCCACATAAGTAGTATGCGTTTTTCAAACTGATTTTCGATGACAGTATAAATTCAAATGCAAATATATCCCGTGTAAAACATGCGCCTAACGTGCTTTCTCTACCACATTTGTTAACGGGTTACGCCATCTTCACACTTTATACTCGAAGAAGGGTCCATTTTAGGTTTTGATGAGAGTTTTCCAGTTCCCGAATAATTTTAAGCCAGATCAGCCGTTTCGTTAGCGTGTGGCGATTGCAGTTCACAAGGGGTGTACCTTCCACGTAACAAAAATCACACTCCTCTATGTATTTATGACGAGGCTATGCAAAGTTCATTAATTTTGCAATGGATGCGAACTACGTTGTATACTGTATGAGTAGCGTTCACAATGCACAGGCAAAATGCTGAGTGAATGGTTATTACAGAGTTTTAAAAACCCCACAATTAGAAACATTTTAAAAACGATAGACGATCTTTCATCTACTATATGATGTAAATGTGATGCTTTATGCTGCCAGATAAGTAAAAGAAAGCATATTTTTGTGTACTTTTTCTAAAAACTATACTTGAATTTATAAGGCTACCGTAAATAAAGGTAAAAAATATATGTCACGTAAGTAGTCATTTTTTCCCGAATGCGCTTGTTGCAGGTCAAAATGAGTGCCTTCGAAAGGCAACAACCTGGCGAGTCCGAGGTATTGTGGAATTATGCCGCGCGATAATCAGTGTTGTAACCCCACCTAAGTAATCCTTCCTAATCGAGAACATATTTCAGAATTTCGGCTTACATTTCATCAGATCGGTCACCCACCGTACATGAAGGCATAATAAGAACGCCAAATAGGTGGCTAAAGTTTGCGTCCGTATGATTTCACGGTGAGTGTGATCGACTGCATACGACATGCAACGCTTAAACTCTTTTTCTTGTGTAACTGTTGGCTGCACAACATTCCACCTCCATCAGGACTCGTTGCATTATACCACACCAAGAAATCAGCAACCTATTTAACCAGTTGAGTTATAGTAAATGAGTTGACATGCTACCTGCAGGTCGCACAAGGCCTTTTCAATTTTTCCCTCTTAAATGACAGACTGGCAAACGTGATATAAGCAACTTCGACCCTGCGTTCACCGAGATGTCCACGGAATTCACGCCTACCGACAAGCTCTTCATTATGAACTTGACACAGACAGAGTTTGCTGGGTTCTCCTTCGTCAATCCAGAATTTGTGGTGGAGGTTTGACGGCTGGGCCGACCCAGATCGTCCAGAACGTGGACAGCGCTCTCGCTTCCAATGCCGGTATTCCCCGACGCGTTCAGTCCTTTTATATACACACACGCACACTCAACAGACCATTTTGGGTGTTACCTTGTACCATCTTTTTATACGCGCTCGCTGCATATGTATTTTAAACAAAAGACGTTTAATCTTTCAGTTTACTATCTCGTTTGTAACCTGGACGTAAAGATCACGGTATTTTCGGAGGGAGTCTCTGGGTGCGATGGGTTGATAACTCGCGAGTTCCCAACTCACGAGCCAGGGAAGACAAAGTAATTGAATGCGTCTGAGTACTGTCCGCCTGTGACCAATCAGTGAAGGGCGCAGCGGCTATTGACCTTGACCTCACCATCCTTGTGCTGTCTCGCGCGACTCTAGCAATCCATTGGCGAGGTACGCAAGGCGAATTGAAGGCGGCATGTATAAGCGGCCCCGCTGGCGATTGCAGAAGATGGCAGCTAGAGAAATACATATTTACGTAAGGGCCAACTTCCCAAAGCCCAGTCAAACTACAAACAGTCCGCAGTTTTATCAAGCGGGACCTTTTTAATAACCTGACAGCGGTGAATTGGAAAAACTCAGAAGATCAGTAAAAGTGCACTGCCAGACGAAGTCGAATCGCTGACCTCCTGAGTACACATTATTTGCGCCACCAACAAAATTTTCCCTGTTTGCACTGACGTATCTATATATCTTCCGCATGTGTAAAATGTCGCGCAGACTAAAATAAACGACAGAAAGGCATTGCGAAATCTATAACTCTCACGGTAGGGAAGCGTAATTACAGTGAAGTCATTCACTGGATCGGGCTGAATCAGCACGACAAGACTCCACGAGTTTCCGCACTGAAAGCGACTTGCATTCGATGCGCAGTCTTCTAAGTCAGTTTTTCACTGAGAACAGACAAGACTGTAGACAGTACAAGCTTAGTGGCGAGTTCCAGGAGGTAGTAGCGGAGAAGGAGACACGAACGTTGAAATGAGTGCTTTATTAGTCCGACGTTTCGGATTCTCACTCGAATCCATTATCAGAGTCAAAGCCAGATAAGGGTAGTGGATTGCCCAGATATTGCTCCGGGTGCTTACAGTGAATGGCTTCCCGCGCAACTTCGACAACTAGTGCTTCCGTTAGGGAAAAAAATTCAACTAGCCTCAAATTTTGGCGAGCTATCCCGTACGCGAAAAATGTCTCGGAGGCCGTCGGCCGCCTTCATACACCCCTTGGAATTGAAGTTGCTCACAAATCGGAGGCAGCCATAGGGCGCCAGGTCATGGGGCCGAAAGACCCACTGCCACGGCAGGAAACATCTGGAGTCGTTTACCGGGTCTGGTGCAGTTGTGGGCAAAGAAACTATGTCGGCGGAACCGGAAGACTACTCTGGACGCGGTTGGCCGAGCACGTGGCAGCATTGAGGAGGAACGACGCCAACTCCCAAGTCGCGGGTTACTTGACGAGACCCAACCACTCATTTAAGTTTGACGAAGCAGAAATCCTTGCTAGGGGCTACAACCGCGTGAACCGCAAACTGCTCGAATCATGGTTTTCCAATTCTCAATCAATCAATAAGTACAACGACCTCCCTGCTCCATATTCGGCGCTGAGACTTAGCCTAGGCAAAGTAGTTGGCCGCGAGGAGAAATTGCGAATAACCACTGTCCCCTGCATCAATGTCGGTGAGTCATATCACCCAAGAGTCCACACGGATGACGAACTCCGGTAGTCAGACCCTCAGCGACGTTCGATGAGCGTGGGAGCCGATGATATTGACCGGCATACAGGGCATAGCAACTGCATGGCATCGGCATACTTCGACACCTGGCCAGTCGAGCTGTGATGCACTCGGGAGCTACCAAATGAGATAAGCATGTAGCCGCCTAGTTACTACATCCTATAAATATTGCAGCACATGGACAATCCACTACCCCCTCCTCTGTCTCTGTCTCTGATGCTGGATTCGAGTGAGAATCCAAAACTTCAGACTAATAAAGCACTTGTTCCAGCAATCGCGCATCCTCAGCAAAACTGTGGACACGCTGTAGAAGGTGCAAGGTTGCTGCATTCCGAAATGGGTTCTAGCGACCTAGCATCATATATTTAAAATCCACTGTCCTTTCAATTAATAGTACATTGCACCATGATTAGCCCTTACGTTATAACCCTCACAAATTGTCGGTCCAATGTAAAGTCAAGAAGTAGTTTTCAAGTTTTATTCGTTCAGTATGCATGGTATGTGCCAAACGCAGTCGTATCTCTTGCAAGCATTTCAGAAACTGGTAGGTGTTTTGAAAAATTTGAATATTTCATTTGACCCTGTTGCGAAAAATTCGGCGGCATAATAGGAACTTGAAATAATTAATTCATACTGACCCAATTGTGAAAACCTCGGTGCCTTAGTAGGATTCGAACGCACGACAGCAAGAGGAAGGCTGTAGTGCAG